CTCTTAGAGGGGAGTCCCCAACCACCACCACCTGTCGTTTTCTTTTGGGGGTGGTGGCTGTGGAACCCCCATCCGTAGGACTACGCATCCCATGCCTTCCAGTAGATGGTGTTCCCTTCTGGTTTCTTCCTTGTGAGGTCCCTTCCAAAGCTTTCAGCACTGCAGAGCCTGTGGAGAGAGCTTGAAAGCGATTGCTTACCTCTATAGCATCGGGGGATTCCCGTGCTGGCCTTTTTCCCCTTCTAGAAGTTACATGCTGCCAGTTCTCTTCTTGGTCACGTACTGCCCTCTCTGGCTCTTCTGCCTGCCGTGCTTGAAGGATTAAATGCTGCCTTCTATCGAGGATGTCTTCATCCTCTCTGATCAAGCGTAGGGTCGACACTTGGGCCTCCAGTCCTCTAATTTTTTCTTCAAAAATGTCAATCAGCTTGCACTTGGTGCAGATGAAGTCAGTTCTTTCTTCCAGGAGGAAGACAAACATGGCACACGCTGTGCAGGTAACAACAGCAGACCCATCTCCAACCATCGCTGCTGTTCTGGAAAAGGGATTTAAAAACAAAGGCAAGAGAACCTCCCGCCCTTCCCTCTCCCCTTCCCAACTCCCTCTCAAAAATCCCTGTTAGCAATCACCTGTTTGCAAGCTCCTTGGTCGCTTGCCCACTGCCTTATAAAGCCCCTCCCCCTACCAAGGCTCAGCCAATCAGCAGAGGCTTCTAGAATTCAAACTTTAATTAGAAGCCAACAGTTTCCACCTGCCAATCACAGCCAATCACAGCCAATCAAGATTCCTTTTAGATGAGTCAAATTTATAAGCCCAGTCTGATTTAGTAGCTATACATTCTGCACAAGTATACACACAGTCCCCGGGTTACGTACAAGATAGGGACTGTAGGTTTGTTCTTAAGTTGAATTTATATGTAAGTCAGAACTGGTACATATTGTAGGGGAAACTCTAGCCAAACATTTCTCCAGAGCTTAGTTTTATTCTCCCACATCTCACTTCCCTCATTCTTGAGTATCTTTGTATCATTTGCCACTTCCCTGTTCTCCTCCTTTTCTAGATCATCAGTGAGTACGTTGAAGCGTGCAAGTCCCAGAACCACAGCTGTCCTGTCCATATGACAATTCGGGGTGGCCACTCTGGGCCCTGTGCTTTGGGGGGCTCCACAGTGGCCACCCCAGATGGTCTACAGATGGGATGGTTCCCCAAATGGAGGATAGGTGAGGGCAGGGTGATCTGGGGGAATATCTGGTGGGGCTGGAGCTGGCAGCAGCGATTGGGCCCCTGTGCATGCACCGCAGCGGTGGGAGCTGCAGGAAATGGAGTGATATGCAGCAGTCTGCTCCACTCCACCACCATCTCCCAGGTGGGTCGCTCCACCACCTGTGGGAAGGAGAATAACTCGGCCCCAGGCTGCTCCATTCCCTTGAGTGACCCAGGCTCTGGGGAGGAGAGCGCAGTGGGCTGCTGGGTCACTCCAGCTCCCACCACAGTGAGTGCAGGGACCTGACCTCTGCTACTTCCCTGTGTCAGGCCCCCTAGTAATTCCCTGGGTCATGTTACTTGGGGGAGGGGGCTTTGGAGAAGGGGTGCAATGGGGACAGAAGAGGACAAAGGGGTGAGAAGAGGTGCAGCACGGGCAGAGCTGGGGAAGGGCTCGGGGGGAAGGGTGGCATGCGGATGAACTGGGGTGGAGCAGGGGCAGGATTTGAGGGAAGGGGGATGTGGGGGTGCACCAGGGTGGAGCAGAGGCACCGTGGGATGGGGAGCAGAGTCTAAGGTGGATAGGGGGACAGCCCCACCCAGTAGGGCTCCCCCTCTCCCTGGTCTGCTGGGGGGAAGCGCCCCCCATGCCGCCGGAGGTGGCGACAGTGGGGGAGGCACCCCGCACTAGCTGCCCCCTCCCCCGCGTTCGTAATTAGGTGTCCGACTTAACGCGGACTGACGTGGATCCGACTTACATTGGATCCCTACTTACAAACGGGGTGAGACAACCCCGCACTAGCTGCTTCCCCCCAGCAGACCAAGGAGACGTGGAGCGGCTTTTCTCACCGCGGAGGACGCGGGCGGCGGGCCCGCCACCCACGTCCTCCGTGGCGAGAAAAGCTGCTCCGCATCTCCCTGGTCTGCTGGGGGCCCCCCCCACCCCATTTGTAAGTAGGGATCCGCTGTAAGTCGGATCCACGTAACCCGGGGACTAACTGTATATGATAGCACTGAGCAGTGGGCAGTGGAGAATAAGCTACTCAATACTGGTGTGGCAAGGTCCTCACTCTGGCTCCTTGCCCTGGGACACCTTCTGGTCCACAAATCAGCTGGAGGCCCCTTCTGGTGCAGTCACCTGTGCCTTTTATTGCCAGTTTTCCACCACGTTCTATTTACAGAGTTGTAGATTGCAGCAAACTCGGCCTGCCTCTCCTTCTGCCTGGGAGCACACTCAGCCACACCCTAGTTCCTCCCCTTGCTCCTCTCGCCTCTGGCTCCTTATATAGCCCACTGACTAATGAGGCCCACAGCTGCTTTTAATAGCCTTTCAGGCCTGCTCAGCCAGTTCTAATTGACTTTTTCAGCCAGGCTGTAGTGGCAGAGATCTGGCTTAGCCAGCAGTCTGTCAGATTGGCATCCCACAATTACTCTCACAGGCTACATCTACACTACGGGGTTTTAGCAGGATACCAAAGGTATCTTGCTAAAACCCTGCCACATTCAAGCAATGTGTTTTCTCTTCCACTTTTTTTCAAGGAAGAGCAAACACGCTCTTTCAGGGAGCCCAGTATAACACGTTTCACGAGGCATAACGGCTTTGCTGAAAGAGTAGACTTTTCTGCCATTTGGCCCTGTCTAGATGAGACCAAATGGCAGAAAAGCCTCCTCCAAAAAAAAAAAAAAGCGGAAAAAGCTACGCAAAATGCAGACTAGACCTAGCCACAGCCTCTTTCTCCACTTCCATCATTAGCAGCAAAGCTGGCTAATATGTCCGATTGATATTACTTGTGCCTATTCACTCCCTCTGTGCCTGTTCACACCCTCTGCTGGTCTTTGGAAACCTTGGAAGGAATAGGAAGGTGATAACTGTCTACACAGGAAATGACTTAATGTCTCAACCACTGTGGCCTTGTGAAGAAATCCGAGTGTTCCCTGCACTAGGTGGTTATGTGCTTCCGATTGAGGAGTTCTGAGGGGTTGTTTCTTTGTTTGTTTTGTAATTGGGAGGTGCTGTGATATACACTTCCACCTTCAGTTTTTTTAATAAAGGCCTATTTTTATGCCTTTGCTTCATTCTCTGTCCTACACTTGGACAAAGCACAAGGCCTCAGTCTATTTTTTAAATTTAAATCCTACATAAAGTCAGTGAATGAATAACTAATGACATATTGTAGAGCTTTGAAATTCTTACCAACTTTCCAACAACACAGAACAGCAATGGTGCCAACGCCAGCTCCAATTATGAAGATTTTATGCTTGCAGCAGTTCGACCATAACATACTACAGATACTAGAATTTTAAAACATTAGATATGTTCAGTTATATTGAATATACTTTTAGCAAATTACTTTCATTTCAAACAAAGACAATGTATCTAGTTACTTCTTCGTCCTTAAAAATATGATTGTTTATGCTTTCTAGGTATCAAGGGATAGAAGTGGGTAGAGAACATCAGAAGACATATAAACTTAGAACTCTATTATAGGTGCATCTAGTGAGCTGGCCAGAATGCAAAAATGTTCAGTACTTCAAAGAAAAGGGGAAGTTCTTCGAGATGTGTTGCCTACATATGTTTCACCAGTGGATTTACCTGGTGGGTTCCATGCTCCAAAGACTGAAATACTTCAATTAGTAGTGTCCGTTGGTTACACCTGCTCCTTTAATAACCTCAAGCCCTTCTCTCACCAACTTACAAGTGGACAATTCACCTTCAATTCCTTTGCCAACATCCATCTCTCAGCAGAAGTCAAGAAAGGATAGTGGGCCATAGAACACCTATAGATAATACAGCTCTGAGACCTCCAGATACTGAACTGGTAGGTACCTTCTTTCCTTTTAAAGTCCTTGTCTCTGAGGCTGCGTCTAGACTGGCATGATTTTGCGGAAATGCTTTTAATGGAAAAGTTTTTCCATTAAAAGCATTTCCACAAAAGAGCATCTAGATTGGCATGGGTGCCTTTGCACAAAAAGTGCTTTTGCGCAAAAGCATCCAGGGCCAGTGTAGTTGCAATTTTGTGCAAGAATGCCCCGATCACCATTTTCGCCATCGGTTTTTTTTTGCAAAAACAGTTCTTCCCTGTCTACACTGGCCCTCTTGTGCAAAAACATTTGCGCAAGAGGGCTTTTTCCCGAGAGGGCGCGTCAGTGTCTTTGCGCAAGAACACTGACAATCTTACATTAGATCGTCAGTGTTCTTGCACAAATTCAAGCGGCCAGTGTAGACAGCTGGCAAGTTTTTGAGCAAAAGCAATTGCTTTTGGGCAAAATCTTGCCAGTCTAGATGCACCCTGAGTGTTTGATGTATGGTGACTCCCCAGCAGCATACCGTGGAAGTCAGAAGTTACTGCAAGTCTAATTAAGTTGAGATTTTAATACAATCCTGACAAATTGAGCATGTGTGTGTGATACCTTCACAATGGAGTCATATTTCAAGAAGATATGTACATCAATCCAATTAGCCTCTCTATAAGTATTAACTGTAGAAAAACTCTAAACCATGCATTCCTTTTGGGAAACATGTTTATTTCCATTTACTCAAGCAGAGACTCTGGTAACAGGGAGCCCTCAGGCTAAGGTCACATAAGTGGACTTGGAGGATCTTGCCTTCTTTCTGGGTCTGAAGCAGGCCTTACTGATTTATGAAACAAAAAAAGGGTTTTAGTGTTTTCCTCCTGCACCAGGCTAATGAGCGCGACTGAAATTGCAAATGAAGTGCGGGATTTAAATTTCCCACGCTTCATTAGCATGTTCCCGGCCAGTCGCCATTTTAGAAATTGACTAGCCCGAAGTGACTGCCCTTATCTATGTATTTTATGTATTTTCTTATAACAAATTTAAACAAAATCTTCACCTTTGAATGGGAAATATATTCAGAAACAGATTAAAAGAGGAAGAGTAGAGTTGAATTAGAACAATCCACGTGTCTTAGAACACCTATAGATTTGCAATACTTTTGTTATGTGTTTTGATCATGTTACCAAATTTGACTTGAAAAACAAAATCTAAATATAAAAAGCATTTTTTTAAATGTTCAACAATCCACATGAGTGGTGGGCCAAAGCTTGTTTATTTTTCTCTTGTGAGGTTTTGGCCTGCTATCTTCTACACTTAAATATACTTCATTTATTACAACTACATCCACAAAAAGGGTCTTGGGCTCAGTGCTGAAGTACTCACCTTATACCGCCATCTAATGGAATACTCAGCCTCAGAGATCCAGACTCCCTATAGAATGCACAGGGAGAGTTAGTCACTTAAAAATATGATCATCAAACCAGTATGCTGAATGGGGAGATGCCTGTGAAATGCCAACAAGTTGCATGTGACCTAATACCTGCCCCCCAAAGACAGGTGCCTATGTCTGGGCTGAAGAAAGATGGGTTTTGTTTGTTTGTTTTATATATCAGAGGGGTAGCCGTGTTAGTCTGAATCTGCAAAAGCGACGAGGAGCCCTGTGGCACCTTATAGACTAACTGAAGTGTAGGAGCATAAGCTTTCGTGGGCAAAGACCCACTTCGTCAGATGCATGTAGTGGAAATTTCCAGAGGCAGGAATAAATATGCAGGCCAGGATCAGGCTGGAGATGACCAGGTGGATCCAATCAAGGAGGATGAGGCCCACTTCTAGCAGCTGATCTGGAGGTATGAATTCCAAGAGAACAGAAGCTGCTTTTGTAGTTAGCAAGCCAACTACTACCTACTCTTTCAAGTAGGAATAAGAGATCCTCCGTAAAAGAGCTTATTTTCCGGAGGATTACGTCCTGCCTGGCGCTTTTCTCCGGCTTATCTACAAGCCGGAAAAAAGCGGCAGCCATGTTAATGCAAATTCCGTGGGGGATATTTAAATCCCCTGCAGATTTGCCTATTCCAAAGTGCTACATTTGCATCCCTATTACGGAATAGGGGCCAATGTAGACACAGCCTGGGTGTGTCTATACTACAGGGTTTTGTCAATAAAAGTGGACTTTTGTTGACAAAACTATACCTCCATCTACACTGCCGCTGAGTTATTTCGACATAGCGTCGACAGAACCCAACGGTTTTGTCGATGGCTATAAACCTCATTCTACGGGGAATAATGCCTTTTGTCAACAGAGTTCTGTTGACAGAAAGTGTTATTGCATCTACGCTGTCCTTTGCGTCTACACTGTCATGTCTACAAAGCGGCTTGCTTTGTCGACAGAACTGGATGTAGTCTAGACACTCTTTGTCAACAGAAGCTTTGTCGACAGTATCTGTCGACAAAACTTCAGTCGACAAAAGCCTGTAGTCTAGACGTACCCTATCTCCTTGTAGTAAATAAACTGATTATATTGTTTTATTTAATCTAGTGTGTCTGAATGGAAGTATTTTACAACTCTATTTAGGGTACCAAGATGCGTGCATATCATTTCAATTAATAAAAAGATTTTATGTATGTTTAAAAGTCTCAAAGGGGTAGTCATGTTAGTTGGTAAGAGAAGGTCTACACTACAGGAGAAGGTCAAATTAAGATACCCAAATGCCACCCTAGTTTGAAGTAGAACAGGGTATGGGGAATGCGTGGAACAAGGAGTACAGCTAGTTCGGATTAGGAAGCCTAATCTGAACTAGCTACTCCGTGCCGCGTGTAGCCGCGCGGCACGGGGGTCGAACTAGCCCGGAAGCAGAGCAACAAAACAGGGATAGGAAGAGGCTGGTGGGTGGGTGGTAAGAGAAGGTCTACACTACAGGAGAAGGTCAAATTAAGATACCCAAATGCCACCCTAGTTTGAAGTAGAACAGGGTATGGGGAATGCGTGGAACAAGGAGTACAGCTAGTTCGGATTAGGAAGCCTAATCTGAACTAGCTACTCCGTGCCGCGTGTAGCCGCGCGGCACGGGGGTCGAACTAGCCCGGCTTCATGCAAATGAAGCCCGGGAAATTCAAATCCCAGGCTTCATTTGCAATTGCGGATGACTACATTACCCCCGCTATTTCGATCTAGCGGGGTAGTGTAGACATACCCTTAGATACCTAAATTGGAGATATAGTGAAAAACTCCCTTCACTCAAATTCAAAGCCATAAACACTTTCCTCAAATTAGAATCACAGACATCTACCTTTCCCCACCTCTAATATCATTAACTCACAGACACTTACCTTCCTCCCCTCCCCCCCCCGGACATTTACCTCCCCCCTTTTTCCCCCTCCATCTCCGTTCTGTTCTGAAATGTGATTTGTCCTTTTCATATGTGTTCATTTTTTTTTAATTGTATCCTTTGGTATATATGGTTGTTACAATTTTCTTCCACTATTTGATCTGAGGAAGTGGGTCTGGCCCACGAAAGCTCATCATCTAATAAACCATCTTGTTAGTCTTTAAAGTGCTACATTGTCCTGCATTTTGCTTCATGTGTAAATTAATGACAGCTTAATGTAACAAATACTGTAAAAATGGGGACATTCAGAGGTCAAGGCTCTTTACACATGACCTTCTACATAATTCAGAAATACCAAAGGGAGGAGAGTTTATGCTAGACTGAGCATATCACAGACAGAAAAAGTTACACCAAAGGGCAAAATGAAAAAAACCCTCTGAAAAAAATTCTCAAGTTACTGTAATTCTCAGGTAGAAAATACACAGAGCATCAATATGAGACAATAGTTTGTTCAAAATTTCTTTTTCTGATAGGATATTTTAGGATCTCTTACATGAACAGTGGATATAATAGGCAAGGGTAGGCACCTCCTTCAAAAACTGCCAGAGTGGCCCCTCCACACTCTGTCCCAGCTTCCATCCAACCTCCTTCCTTCAGTGCATCTCCTCCTAGGCTGTCTGGAATTCAGCTTTTCCGAGGCTGTGGCTGTGCCACCAGCTCTCCAGGGGCTGAGGAAGCTGGGGCTATCCACCGTCTCTCCAGTGCTCTAGCTGGGCCAGGGAAGCTGGGGACCATATGTCACCTACCTTCTGTCTTCTTCTTTCTCTTCTCCCATTTTCTCTTCTTCTCCCTTTTTCTCTTTCTCGTCTTCTCCCTTTATCTCTTTCCCACCTCCCTTTTTCTCTTCTCCCATTTTTTTCTTTCTCTTCTTCTCCCTCTTTCTTTCCCTCTTCCTCTGGACTCCGGCTGGGGCCAGGGAAGGTTGAACTCATGTGCCTTCTGCTTTCCTTCCCTTGTGCTCCTGCTGGAGAAGGCTGGGGCCACACACTGCCTACTCTTCCTCCTCTGTGCTCTGGCTGGCGTGGGGAATGCTGGAGCCAAGCTCCGCCTGCTCTCCCTCCCTCCTGCTCTGACTGGGAAAGGCTGGGGTTATGTGCTGCCTACTCTCCCTCCCCCTTGCTCTGTCCTGGGCTGAGGAATGCTAAAACCATGAACCAGTCCCCTTCCCCCATGCTCTTGTGCAGTGGGGGGAGGGGAGGGGAGGGGAGCATGGGGCACTTGCCTCCCACAGGGCCACCACTTCTCCACTCCCCTGCTCTTGGACACAAGGGGCAGGGCAGAGGGCTTGCCTCCCCAGCTCTTGGTTTACCTGCCACCCATGATCTCCTGTTGTGTTTTGGAATAAAACTTTTTTTTCTTCTGTGACTGCCTCTCCTTCTTAGGCTTTTTTCCGGGATTTGTATAATATCTATTTAATAATTAACTCTGGGCCAACGTGCCCGAGGAAATATCTTTGAATGATTCAATTTCTATTGGTAAGAGACAAGCTTTTAAGTTTACACAGAGTATTTGTTGAGAAAGTCCTCAGAGGGCCTGTCCAAACTAGCCCTTATTTCTGTGTAGCTTAAGTCACTCAGGATAGTGGCTTTCCACCATCCTGAGCAATGCAAGTTACAGTGACCTAACTGCTGGTTTGGATAGTGCTATGTTGGGGTATGTCTACACTACAAAGTTAGTTCGAACTAACTTTCATAGGCACTACTCTAGCGCTCCGTTAGTTCGAATTTAATTCGAACTAACGGAGCGCTTAGTTCGAACTAGGAAAACCTCATTCCACGAGCATTAAGCCTAGTTTGAACTAGCTAGTTCGAATTAAGGGGTGTGTAGCCCCTTAATTCGAACTAGTGGGAGGCTAACCCTCCCCAGGTTTCCCTGGTGGCCACTCTGGCCAACACCAGGGAAACTCTTCTGCCCCCCTCCCGGCCCCGGACCCCTTAAAGGGGCACGGGCTGGCTACGGTGCCCGTGCCAGGTGCAAGCCTGCCAGCACCCAGCCAGCAGACCCTGCACCTGGCACGGCACAGAGCCACCCACCCGATGTCCCCCA